CCTCTGCCTTTTTCCTTTTAATTTTCCTTTTCTTTTCATCATGACAGTGGTGAGGCCCTGCCTCCCCTGACTGCACCGCCCCTGGTAGTTTTATACATAATTCCCTGGAGGTGTCAATTTTCATTTTGACTTAAGATAATCAGAAAAAATCACAATGTGTTAAAAAAGCAGATTTCTTTTTAGTTAAAATCTGATATTCTTGTTTTTATGATTGGGATGTTTATGAGAGTTCAACTATTGTGCCAAATCCATTGAAGAACTCCTTTTTAGATTGGATTTTTGTGTTGGTGTAGTTTCAACCATAATTAAGGCCATGCATACACAAGATTCTTTTTTGTGTGTATATTTTACACACAGCTGTTGTATTAAGTCTATACCTGTGCCATTTGAAAGTGTGTGGTTTAGTTTCAAATGTTTTGCAAATGGAAAATTAACTGCTTCTTTGTACTGAAATTCTTTCAGCTGTGCTAGTTTTTATTCTTTTTTTAATGGGGGGAAGAATGAGGAAGCATACATGCCTTATTTCTGATTATTATCAATTTGATTGTGCTGAATTTTTTTTTATTGTGAGCTGCGAATTTGGCCCATTTTTTTCCACATTTGACAGAAAATAGATGCACAAATTATTGCATGTAATTTTGTATACCCTCTCTTCTAGTGCATTTGTTTTCATGAATCATATGTATTCTTCACAAATATATATTTTAAATAGGACAGTATGTTTTTGAACATACTTTACCTTGCTATGTTCTTCTAGGTGTAATTTGAAATATAGAATCTTACAAATCACTGAACCAAATTGCAAAAGAGTTCTCATTCTGAGGGACCTGGTTTCTCACCTTTCCTTGCAGCCAATTTCCAAATTTTTAGAAATAAAAGTGGCAAACCTGGATGCTAATACAGAATGCAGCTGAAATGGATTAGATGCCTAAACTTGCAGTGGCAATTTTATATTCTACTAGCTAACCCAGCATTGTCTGGGTATTTATTTATAGAGGGAAAATGTCCAGGCCAAACATAATTTCTAATGTTGGATTTTCCCCCTTACCAGAGGGAGCCCTCTTGTGGAGTATTGTGAAGCTGTTACCACGGCGACTCCACTGCGCTGTACAGTAGAAGCCATTTTATGGCTGTATAGTAGAAGTCATTTTAAGGTACAACAGACTGTACCTTAAGAGAACACACACACTGGGGTTTTAGGAGTGTCTTACCTCTACAATTTTTTTTTCAGAGAGTAAATCATCTGTATACCAAGGTTGGTTGAAATTTCTCAAGGAGTTCTAGAGGCAATGGCTATGCAAACTCTTGCCACAATAGTTTTTCAGGGAAGGTGATGCTATGACTTCTAGAAGTAACATTTTTGAACCATAGAAGTTCTGACCTGTAATTAAATTTTAAATTCCTTTTCTATTGCAGAATATCTTGGCCTAAGAGAACTTTTTCCCATTAATATTCATTAATTTGATCAAATATTTATTGATGCATGGGGATACTTTTAAATAATAACAGTAAGATATTGAATGACATGCTTTGGACTTTGTTTTGATCAGAGCATTCTGCAAATATTTAAACAATGACCAAATAGTCTCTTTGCTTGTATTTCAGATTTCATGTAAAAGCATCAGAAAGATTGGCAGCCAGATTGATGTGATATCTGTGGAAAATGAATTAAAGCAACATGACCAAGGCTCATTTCGCATTCTGCAATTATATTGAGCAAGTGCTAAATAGGCTCTAGTTACTCTGTGATTTTCAGCTTTTCCTTGACAAACCAGAAAGGTAACCTTTTAATTTATTATCCTAGCTTAGGCATAGCTGAGGGATAAGGCATTTTCTACCAAGCATCTGTAACATCCGTGTTGAACTGGTTTTGATTCAGAGTAGGATTCCAATCCAGTTTTGCAAATGTAAAAAAAAAAAATGGTTCTACCCTTCCATTGCTAGCAGAAATAAGATTCTTTTAGATCATCTGGCTTTGTTTTTTCCCTTTGAAAATTTCCTTGTTACAGCACTTGATTATATTTCTGTATTTTTTCAAGTACAGAATATGGCACTTAGTTTTAATAAAAGCGATTACAACATGATTTTTTTGAGTGCTAAAAGCCTTGGAAAATGAAAGATCATGCTGTCCAACCTCTGTGGTGATACTGTTTACTGAAGCAGTTTTTAAAGAAAGACCGAAGATCTCTGGAAGATTATCAAAAGTTTCTAAATGAAAAAATCCATTACATCCAATCAATTTTCCTAAAGGATTTGCAGTAATTACGAGTGGTGAGACAGCATAGGAGAATATGCCTTTTAGTGATCATTTCAAATATTCAAGGAGTCAAGATGAAACCCAGCATGCTTAGTTAAAGTTACATGTGAATTGAAGATATGAAAGATCTGCATGTCTTTCTATATCATGTGTTAGAGTAGCAGAATTTATAATTGCTGAAGTAAGAATCTTTTCAGAGCAAAGTTGAAAATCCTTTGCTTTCTATTTTAGAATATCGACTTTGTTAGCTTTCTACAGTCTTTCCTGTTCATTTTGTTCCTCTTGTGGTCAAAATGAAACATGTTAAAAATTGATGCTGCCTGAAAGGTTCAGGAAATAAACTGAAGAAAGGAGTAGTACATTTTAAATCAGGCTCGGACCTAGGATCTGATTTATTTATTTTTCTGTATGAAGGGCTTTAGCACCAGGATGAAACAAAATCTTATTGTATGTTGTTGCAATTGTAATTTGTTTTGAATGCCTTCTTTGTTAAGAGTTTGACTCATTTCTTTGGTTTTGGATTATGATTATTTTTAATATGGTTTTAATATGGTTCTATTTTGATGTATATAAGATTTTATAGATGACCATATCATTTTAAAAAATAAAATAAGGTTAAATTCACACCTGCAGCCAGAGTGGGAGACTCCTAGTGTAAGGTAAAAAAAAAACATTTGTTAAAAGAATTAAAAGAAGAATCTGTCACTGCAGGATAATATAACAAGTCAGTATAGCATTATAGAAAGAGGTATTTGGATGCAAGTATGTAATACGGGCAATATTGATTTGTATTAGGTACTTTTATTAAGTATTTGTTTCAGCAGGGCTTAGCATCTGGCTTAGCGTACTTTTATTTAAGATATTAGCAGTTAATATTTATTTAAAAACAGTAATTATTTATCATTCTTTATGTAATCAAACAGCAATATAATTATACAACTATATTCCTATTGCATAAAAGACTATAAAAAAGAAACCTAATCTATTATATGAAAAAATATAAAGTGGGAGGAGGGGAAAAACATCATATATTAAACCACCGAGGAGAAAAGCAAAAAGGAAAAAGGACACCTGCCCTGAAAAAAATCGAAACAAAACGTAAAATTAATGAGAAGGAAAAAAATCCCACATCTAAATTATATTTTAATTCTTTATATAGAGAAAAAGGTTGTGTCAGTCAATTAAAATTATATAACTTGCTTTAATTTTAACATTAATACTCAGTTTTTTAAATACTAAGTTAAACCTAGTCTGTACAGCACTATATTGTCCAGTCTTGCCTCCCCATCTGTTCAGATCCAAATCCATCTTAGTTAAGTTGATTTACCTTGTCTGGATTTGGCTTTTGAGCAGGATTGGTCCTTGGATAGGAGATAAGAAGACCAGGACTATGGGCCAGGAAGTCGAAAAGAACAGGCTAGAAGGCAGTGGCAAACCACTTTTGCATTACTGCCCATGTGCCTATGAAGTCCAAAGGAGTCAGTGTGACTTAAAAGAGACTCAACTTTTGCTGATGATGAAACAGTGTTACCATGCAGATCTTTAATAAATTTATGGTTTATTTTATAAATTGTTATTTGTTTTATATTAACTCGAAGAAAGGATCGTGAATGATTTCACCTCTGATCTTTGGTGTCTATTGTGCAATGTTACCCAAAAAATTAAATGCATTTGAAATAACTCATTGTGGTCCTAGCTAGCAGTGTTAAAAATTTCAAAAGATTTGAATCGGCCATCTACAATCTCTGAGTCTTTTGATATCTCAGATTATCTTTAGAAATGTAGAATAAAAATTATCCTAAATCCTTGCCACCAAGACACCTCATTGTGATGCTGGTGGGCATGATAGAAATCATTGCTTGGTTGATTTAACAAGCTGAATCCCTTAAAACAGGACAGTGTTTTTCCGTCCTTCCTTCCTTCCTATGCATGCTACTTTCTAAGCATTCCTCCTGGGGCCAATTATTAGAGGAAAGCAAACACTAGTGTGCCAGTATGACATCTTAGCTTGCTAGAAAAATAACCAAGAGATCAAAATCATTCCAAAGAAGAGAGTTGTGTTTCTGAAGAAAATGTTTCTTTTTACTGTAAGGGATTCATTTTAGCCAATAATAACCATCCTTGCATTAAAAGGCTGCATGAAGGCATTGTCTAACAAGGGAGACTAGCATGCTTGGGACACAGAATCTCTTCACAGGTTGAAAGTTTATACAACTGGGATGGGAAGGTGGGGAAGAAATATGCTTATGCCACATCATTAATATTTAGTTTTGGGGTGGGACACACTGAATTTTTTCATCTCGCTCTGTGTGTGTTTGTGTATGTGAGAAAGTGTGAGTGAAACTTGCTAATTTTAGCAACTCATGGGTTTAATTTATTCTTATTTAATTTTATTTAGTTTGTTAAACATGTACAAGATAACGGTTGTAAGTATAAACATGGACATGAACGAGGGAAATGAGTGGATGGAAGGCACGCTGGTGTGCTCCTTTACGGACCTCTTAGGAATCGGGTGAGGTCCAGGATAGACAGAGTTTAAGGTTGAAGCTGTGGGAGTTAAGAGCATGTAACATATACAAGAGATAGTTTTGCTAGTCAGATACCATAATAACTGCGTCACAAAAGTCTTACTTGCTTCCACTAAAAATAGATATAGGAACACCTTATCTGAGTGCAGTTTTAAATAAGGGACAAAAGAGTCAGGAAAAAAAATGTTGTTTGACAAGGGCTTTCAATGTTTTAAGCAAAGCTTCGGTAGCACTCCTATATATGGTATATGGTGGGGATCAGGAAAAAAAAAGGGCAAATATTTAAAAAGTTCCCAAAATAGCATAGGCTTGGGAATAAGGAGCATATTGCTCATTACAACACTCATTGACATTGCTCAGAAGGTGCCCCAGGGGGGAAAAAGAGGAGGGATTAGCCCTAAAACTAGGGAAAAGAGTAAGGGAGGGATTCTAAAGTGCCAGTTAAAAATACTTTGAAATAATATTCCTTTGTCAAGAGGGTTCTAAAAATGAATTAATAGATAAAAATCCACCAATAAAATATGCAGCACATGTGCAAAACACATTATGTACTACCAATCTTACATTCACATTTAAAAATTCATATGAAAGCAAACTTTAAGTTGCTTCTTATATCTTCCAGTTTGGAAGAAATCCATAGGATATTGTGTTAGAGAGAGAGAACATGGTAGCTATATCTGCAAAGAATGATAAACCAAAATTCTTCTTGTCGTATTCACAAACTGTGCACAATAATGTGGAAGAGCCTTTACTAGTGTTTTTGGATGGAACTGACTTAAGCAACATTGAATCTGTCATCTGAAGTTGGACGTCCACCTTGCTGTGTAGCTTGGAAGTCAAGCATCTTAAACTAAGCAAGCAGACTGTGTTAGGCAGAAGACACATAGCTATCCTCACAGCAAGTAAAATAAAATGGGATCAAAAGGGCTGTATATATGACCGCATGACTTGTGAAAAATAAATGATAAACCAGTTTCTTCAGACTTCTGAAGTTTATTTTTCTTGTATGAGTAAAGCCAGACTATTTCTATTAAAAGATTTCAAATCACAGTATCTTTTTCCTAGGATCTCTCCCCAAAATCTAAAAATATCCCAATAGCTTATTTAAAATGCTGTAGCCAAGACAGTGTGTGTTGAAACATAGAAGGGATGAATAAGAAAAACAGAATTTGCCAGGCACTACTGATTTTCTTAAGCATTCTATTTATAGCTGAAATTAACTTGAGTTGAAGAATCGATTTTATATATGTGGATTCCCAGAGAGAGCATTAATCTCTGAAACTAGGTAGATGATGTTATATAACACACATAGACACGTTTCGTAGTAATAGACAAGCACCAGGAGACATCAGTGATAATAGGTGGTGCCAAGTGAAAGCGACATCGCTTGGAATATTAAAGGAGGAATATTAAAAGCTGCAGAAATACCAGGGGCCTGAAGGAGGAGCTAGAGAGAAAGTGGTCCCAAGTGGTAGTAGGATCACTTGAAGCTGTGACTCCTAAACTGGGAGAATGGCTCCAATAGATCCTAGGAACAACTTCAAAGTTCTCTGTCCAGAAAAGTGCAGTACTAGCAACAGCTCAGATACTTTGCAGGCTGCTCATGCTCTCTAGAATAGCAAATGTCATGACTGTATAGTTTTCATACATCTTGAGGATGGGTAAATAACATAAATCAGCAGTGATAGTTTTGCTAGTGAAGAAAGGAAGTGAAGGAAGAACTTGCATAATGTAATTAGTTGCTTTCTTTCTGTCTTAAAATACATTTAGAGTAAAGTTGGTAAATTCTAAGCGCAAGACTGCTGATGGCCTCCATCTGAAACTGAAACAAAGACCTGCAATAGTTAACATGCCAGTAAAAGAGGCTAAAGATTTTTAAAAAGGTCAAAGAAAAATGTGGATTTTAAAATCAATCTCCACTTTGCATGCTTTATTGAATAACTAAATATGGGCTTTTTTTCAGATGGGAAAATAAATTGGCCTTTAACAAATGCAATACCATGCTCACATCGAAGAGGACAATAGCCCTCCTGTAAGTATAAATATAGCGTACAAAGTCACATATACTATATGGAACAGCATGCTCTGAAACTCTGGAAACATTTCTTTATGTACCATATCAAAACAAGATCATCCTGATAGGTCTTAATATTCAGAACTCCAGTTGTTGTGGAGAATTTTGTTCACTTGCTTCAACATTTTGAACTGAAGTCCTACTGCATTTTGAGCTGAGCTATTATTTTTCCAGCTGTCACAGATCATAGATTAAAAACAAAGTCATGGAGACATTACGTACAATTTTGAATCAGCTTAATTCTGGCATCAAAATAAAATACAATATACAATTGGGAAAGCAAGATAATCTTGTGTGTTTCTCTTTTCTTCTCCTGTGATCACTTTCATTAGATTGGTTCCAGTTCTTCATGGCATCTAAATTCAAGCAGGTTGTGGTTAGTCTTACCTTTGGTTGCAAAAAGAGATCAATATTAAGTTATTTAGGATTCCTGTCACAGAGCTCAGTTGGCTCAATTTATGGCTAGGGTACTTATGTTTGTGATAGAGCAACTTTGAGATTCATGTTTTATTTCTCATGTTTTCTTTATTGACTTAAAAGTTAATGTCTATTAAAGCTAATGGTATACTGTTAACATCACCAGCAAAGGGTTAATATTATCATTATTTATTTAATTAATTGAATGGTAAAATAAGCATTAAAATGATTGTCGTGTGAAATCAAATTTCACTTGCGCTTTACTTTATTTATTTTTTTAATTTTAGCATGCTAACATCATAAGGGCTGCAAAAAGACCAAATCTCTGTTCTCTTTGGATGCTTCAAGCAGTATAAAGAAGTGGCTTCCTCATGACAACATGTCAGTGAAAGATCTCAGCCCCCGACATAATACAAAATCCCGTGTAGTGCAGCGGGCCTCTACTGTTGATGTTGCCTCTGATATGTCAGGTTTATCCTTGACAGGTGATTATCTGTTCCCTACCTGTGCTTTTCTAGTATTAATTATTAACGCTCTGTCTTAGGCCCAGTACTCTTCAATATATTCATCAATGATTTAGATGAGGGGATAGAAGTGGAACTCATCATATATGTGGATGATACCAAGCTAGCATGAACAGCAACACTACAGATGATAGGCTTAAGATACAGAAGGATCTTGACAGACTTGGACATTGGGTCTGACCATGAAAATGAAATTTTATGGTGAAAAAGTAAGGTTCTACATTTAGACAATAAACAGGTTTAGTAAATAAACTATAAACATATATAGTATAGGTCCGTGATGGTGAACCTATGGCACGTGTGCCACAAGTGGCACACAGAGCCATTTGTTAGGGCACATGAGGTGTTGCCCTGTCAGCTCCAGCACGCATGCTGACTTCGGCCTTCTTTTGAAGCTTCCGGAGCATGAAAAACCGGCCCTACGGGCAAACTGGAAGTTCAGACTTCCAGTTTACTCGTAGACACATTTTTCGCCCTTCAGAAGGCTCTGGAGGGTGAAAAACAGTCCTATGGCCAAACCGGAAGTCACTTCAGGTTTGGCCGTAGTGCCGTTTTTTGCCTTCAGGAGGCTTTCCTGAAAGTTCCAGAGGCAAAACCCAGCCATACGACCAAACAGGAAGTCACGTATGGTTTGTCTGTAGGGCCATTTTTCACCCTCCGGAGGCTTCCCTGAAGTCTGTGAAGGGCAAAAAACGGCCATACTGCAAACTGGAAGTCCATTCCCGAACTTCCAGTTTGCTCGTAGGGCCGGTTTTTCGCACTCCGGAGGCTTCAAGGAAGCTCCTGAAACCTCTGGAGGGCCTTGTGGGGAGGGGGAGATGGAGGCGGTTTTTGCCCTCCCCAGATTCCTAGAAAGCCTCGAGGCTGGGGAGGGCGAAAAATGCGTGCCAAAATAATTCTGAAAGTCTAGAGTCACTTTCAGAATTATTTTGGCACGCATTTTTCGCCCTCCCCAGCCTCGAGGCTTTCTAGGAATCTGGGGAGGGCAAATTCATAATGTATGATCAATTTATTTTATTTCTTTTGATTCTATTGGATCTTTTCAGTCTTTCTGAAAAATAATTTGGGTTTTCCAAAAGCAGCACACAATTTTGCTAACCTTTGTGCTTTACAGGAAACATTCAAGATCCAGACGAGCCAATCTTAGAATTTAGTTTAGGTAAGTAATTTCATAATATGTTTTTCCTCACTCATTTGAAAATACTACCTTTATACTTGCTGCTTATATAGGGGTTAGTTTATGTACAGTTTAATGGTTGGTTATAGAAAAATGTGTTTTACAAGATCCTATCACACTTAGAGCTACCTTCCCCAGCACTTTCTGATTTATCATTTTGGATTAATTTTGGTAATTTATTTTAAATATATCACCCTTCTAGGAAAACTGCCTGTTAAATTAAAACATTAAATAGCAAGAGCAGTGTAAAATATGTCAGAAATGTATCAAAATTAATACAAACTGGGCAGCTTGTTATTCTAATAATCTGTTTCTACACACTACCACTTTTGATCAATCTTCCATTCTACACCTTTGTGTGAAATATGTCATCTGAATATACAGCCGACACTAATTCTGTTTTTTCTCATTAATCCTTGAAAATTATCCAACTTTAAGTTATAATTAAACTTTAATTGATAAGCATTTTTCACACTATTGTTTCCATAATCAGTATCTTCTATTTTTCTCTCTCTTCTTTTCGCTTGTTCTTTATTTCAGACAGAAGCCTAGTGTTTTGTGGTATAACGTGTATCAGAATGGCAGCAATTATGATTGTTTTGTATTTAGCAAGTGACAATTTTTCATTTCTTGTATTCTATTTGTGAAATTCAGTTCCTTCATTGTGTACAAACAGTGCTATTGATTTTCCACAGCTTGCAGTGAACTGTTAACTCCATCACTAGATAGGAAGCCAAATTGTTTTGTAGCAGTGAGTGTAACTACACCACCTCAAGCATTCTGGACAAAGCATGCTCAAACAGAAATTATTGAGGTAGGTTGTATTGTGTTTGCCACATCAGTAACCTGATTAAATTCAACTGGTACCAATTTGTCTCTACTAATTTTTGATATACATATATTTTTGTTTCCATTACAGGGCACAAATAATCCCATCTTTCTAAGCAGCATTGCCTTTTTTCAAGACTCTCTTATTAATCAGATGACACAAATTAAGCTTTCTATATACGATGTAAAAGATAGATCTCAGGGAACTGTAAGTTTAAAATATCTTATTGCTGCACATCTGAACCAAAGCTTGCATGCTTTTGATCCTGGAGGCCATGGCATTATTATAGTTATTATAAATATAACAGTCTGAGCCTGATTTTGAAGATTATATTAAATATGAAACATATTTCATGCCTTGCTCAAAAATACATACAAATTCAATCGAGCCATACTGTATATTTATTAAGTGAAAATCACCCCAGCTGCATTTCTAATGCTGGGTTGGCATTTTCTTTGGGGTTTGCAGGTGTGAAAAGGAAATCTGCAACCCTACCTTGTTAATGAATCTTAAATGTCCCTGCTTATTATCTATTGAGTAAAAAAGGATGGTAGTATGCTATATAATTAAACATAGTATATAGTTGGTGGATTATTTTAAAATGGAACCAAAGATTTCCTTGCTGTGGCAGGGAGGAAATGAATCTTTGGATCTGAATTCTAACAAATAATTATGATGGACATTTAGTGGTTCTTTCCTCTTCTTGTTTTCATAAATTATCCCCATAAAGTAAAGAAAAAAATGTTCTTCCTCTTTCATGTTTATATACATCAGGGATGTCAAACTGGCGGCCCAGGCCAGATGCATCATGGGTAGGCCATGCCCACCGCAGGAGGAAAATGTCTCAATATGTCATGTGATAGCAATGTGATGCTGCAAGTTTGACACCCATGATATAGTTAAACAATGTTTATATTATAGATGTATAATCTTAATATGGAGGCAGTCAAAAACAAGCCATTTTAAATATGAATTGATAGAATTTGCATTGGTTAGCAACACATAAACAAGAGGTAACTGGATTACGGAGTCATGTATTTACTATAAAAATGGAAAATGAAAGCCTATTATGTATTATATGGTAGATATCTATTACATACAACATTACATACCTATTAGCTATGTTAAATGCTTGGGCCCTTAACTCATCATTTAGCTTCTGAATTATAATTACTGGGTTCTATGATGCATGGTTTCTGAATTGAGTGAGGACTGAGAGAGAAAGGGATTGTTCTATCAAATTTTAAACTTAGTTTTACATGAAATATTAATGGCCTTTCAAAACTGGAATTAAAAATGGTAATAATTTATTACTGAACTGTTTTTGTTCTTTTTCTTCAGATGTATTTATTGGGTTCTGTGATATTTGCTGTACAGGATCTACTTAAGGAGAAAAGTCATAGGCTGCACTTAACACTAAGGTTAGTATTTAGTCTTGTTTCATATGAAAATAATCTGTATGCTAATTGAAGAAAGTCAGGCTTTTTAATTGCATGCTAGTTCGGTTTAATTCATTTTTAAAACTCAGATCAAAACCAAAGGTTTATGCTTTAAGACAATTGTCTCTCTGTAGTAACACTAACCTCTGGAGCAATCTCTCACTAGAGTTTGGGTTAGTTTTGGAAACAGATGAAAGGGAAGCTTTTCTGAATATTGTGAATATTCTCTTCCCAAAAATTGATTGCTCTATTTCCTGCATCACTGAATTTACCAAATCCCAATCTTCCTGTAATTCCGGATTTCTCTGTTTTTCCCAATTTTTGGACTTAATCATCCATGATTAATCTTAGGTTTTCCACACATCGATTACATTTGACCTCTTCAGTTTGCTATACAATATTTGTCTTCCACCATTATGTCTGTAATGTATAAATATTCATTATATATACCCTCATTCTAAAGCAAAGGTAGGATATAATGCCCCCTTTCTGGTTCAGGAATTCTGGGAGTTGAATTCCCCAAGTCATAAAAGGACCATCATACCTGACCCCTGTTCTAAAGGATACAATCCTATAATTTATTGGTTATATTTGACACATTGCCTTTCCTTTTTGAGTGTGAAGATACTGTTTCTTTAAAATTATTTTAAGTCCTAAATATTTTCTGTTTTAAAGAGGCCCGTTTTGTTCATTTTATTCCTAAAACTCTTACTTGAATGTTTTGTTTCCATATTAAAAATTTCAAGCTTTTCCCAGTTCATAATGAGAAAATACTATTGAGTATTTTCTACTATTGAGCCAGGTAAAGACCTATACTATACATGTTTATAGTTTATTTACTGTATCTGTTTATTATTGTTTATTTCCAAAAGATATTATGTGGCTTAGACTGAAGAATAAAAGGGTGTGCGCTCAACTTTTTTTAGTATGCTTTACCACTGACAAAATTATGAGTCTGAAATTTGGGATTAGACTTGTTTTCACTGAGAATAAAATCCCATTCAAGAAATAACATTTTTATAAACAACAGAATTTGGAGGCCAGAGTGAGTCCAATTTTGCCATTTTGCACAATTGTATCTCTCTTCATGAAAGGGTCACTGTTGTATCTCATAGACCTTGATTGATTTATCCCATGTAATTTGTACATTGTAGATCTGCTGAAAATGACCGTGTCGGGAACATTACAGCCATAGGATGGCAAATGGAAGAAAACACAGACGAAAGGCCTCCTGTGACCAGATCTCCTGATACTATTAATGGAAGGGTGAGTTGGCTGTCTTTCTGTCATATGTCTAACCTTCTTATTCTTCCCACACCATTCCTCAGAGTCATTTTTTTTTCCCTAAAGCAGTTCAGCCTTTGTTGGATAAAAATATTATGTTATGTATCTAAAAGGAAGAGACCTGTATAAACTACCATCTCAACTGCAAAAGTGAAAATGAGGAAAAAGCTTACTTGCTTTCTTTAATGTGTTATCAATAAATCTAAGACATCTTTTTCATGCTAGAAGTAAATTAGTGATGATTTTTTTTAAAAAAAGAACTGTTGTTTTCCTCTCAGACTAATACAATATATCTTAGGAATTGAGGTATCTTGGTTGGGGCGCTTTGCAACTCCGCTTATAGGAATCTGTTGTTTGTCAAGTTTCTGAATTTCTAGGGTGCTCCTTCAGTTTGAGAAGCCCTTACAAATGATGATGCTTGATTACTCTGTATTTGTAATTAATAAGTTTTCCTGCTTTTTTTCAGACTGTGCTACCAGTTGATGAAAGTTTGACAGAGTCCTTAGGAATCCGATCCAAATATGCTTCATTACGAAAAGATGCACTATTAAAATCTGGTAAATAGCTTCTTGAATGGATGGGTATTCTGCATCTTAATTTGTCTTTTTCTAGTCCATTGTCATGCCTGTTCTTCCATATATTATGTCAGTGTTTATGTAATCAGATTGATCAGACAAAGGATTCTTCCATTTAGCTTTGTGGAGACAAAAGATCCAATGAATATTAACATCATCAGTATTAGGGGGATTGATCGGAGCTGACTTAAGAGTGAATGGAAAAGAGTGAATAAATACTGAAGAGGAAAAGCTCCGTTGCATTATTTTATGTTTTTCAAATCTTTAAAATTGTGCTACATCACAGATTTAACTATATAAAAGCATTTGGACATGTCTACATCTGCATTATGGTCAGTCAGTCATCTATGTGCAGAAATGATTAAATCATTATTCTCTTTTATTCTAAGTAAAAATATTTTTCCAGGATTTCACTGAAATCTCTTAGATTAAGGGCGGGGGAGGATGGCAGAGGTCACTTCACCAGAAGTAGTTGGCCTAGATTGCAATGCAGATGAAAATACGGCATTGATCTACTGTACATCTGTCTATGCATAAGAGATCTGTTGGCTTTTTTTCAGAGGGAGGGGGAGTTGGGTGTAAGCTTTGTGTTGTTTTGAATCTAAGCCATGATCTTTAGGAGGCCATGAGGATGCAAAAGAATTTGCAAGCTGAAAGAAACTGATCAGAATCCTCTAATATGCTTGTAGGATTATTTAAAGCTTAGCACCACTGATGTTTCTGTCTTAAATATTATGTGATTAAAAAGGCATTCACATATTGTGAATGCTCATTAGCCTGTGTTCTCTTTACATAGTAACTGTTTCCAGCATAGGTTCTGATTTTAGTTGTCCAATCTTTCTGTTGTGTCTTCCTTTTAAGTTGAAACATACAGGGCCTGTGGTATCAAAGGCAGGTGCATGGATGGCAGGGTGAAAAGAACTGTTCTTCAAACAAGAACAGTCCATAAGTCTATCTTTTGTCTCATCACTAAATGCATTACGCTGAAAAACTAGGAAGACCTGAATATTGCAGTCTAAATATTCATTTGTATGGTCATACAATACTTAACAATCTTTTCAATGTCAACTTTTGTGCATATTGTATCAAAACTCAACTTTCTGTTTCTGCTTTTTGTTGAGAGGAGTGTACCTTATAAGCTATGCTTTTAATATGCTTGGATGTGCTAAGTAGGTTTTTTAGCATTTCAAGGTTAACGGTTTCTAGCGTCTCTAAACGGTTTGTTAAATTAATGTGTTAGGGGAATGGAGCTTGCATGGCCTAATTGCAATGAAGTACTTATTTAAATGTTTTAATATTTTAGTGTTTGGAGGTGCCATTTGTCGGATGTATCGTTTTCCTACCACTGATGGCAACCATCTGAGGATTTTGGAGCAAATGGGAGAGAGTGTGCTCTCTTTACACATTCCCAGGCAATTTGTGAAATTGCTGCTAGAGGAAGATGCTGCAAGGTAAAAGTCATTGCAATAAAGTTTTAACTGTTGATGCTAACGAGGAAATACAATATTAAGGCAAACAGTTCAGCTTTGCACACTGCTTATAGTGATTAGCTGACACCTTTCTTTTATTTCTTTGTAAATAATTGGTAGGCTGGAAAATAATGCAGCACAATTACTTGTTTGTTCTATAGTGTTACAGGGTAGAAAAGGCATTGATCGCTTTGGTTGATTTACATTTGATGGAACTTTGTTGGGAGTAGTATTGGAGCTTTTAATGGTGTTTAATACCATTGATACCATTGACCTTGGTATCCTTCGGATTGTTTTCAGGGTTGTAAACTGGGAGCACCATTCTGTGATTGTTCCATTCTTTCCTAAATGGTGACTAACAATCCATAGTCATGGGAATCACGTTTTGAGTCCTTGTAAACTTGAGTGTTGAATATTTTAGTGTTCTTGTTTCTCCATGTTAATTCATACATTCATGAGACTGACTGGGGAAACCATTATGATTCAGAGTTCAGAGTTATGATCCAGGTTATCAATGTGGAGATGTTTTATATTATCTCATCAAGCTGAGTCAAAGATGCTGTAAAACTGGTACCTGGAGTCAGTGAGTGAAAAACAAGACTGGATTAAATCTCACCAAGTCAAAGCTAGTCATCATTAATGCTGTTATTTGAAAATTGTTTGATTTGTTATTTGTCTCCCAACCAATGTCCTCTAGGAATAAGCATGCTGTAAAATGTTGTGAAATAAATGAAAAAAAAAAGAAAGAATAGGATGTGTGCTGTACTCTTCCAGACTATGCAGCTGCTGCTGTTGTTTAGGCAAATATCTGTTGTTTCAGTTATCATAGGTATACACTGGCACTCGTATGGGGGCAATTTGTCCTCCATTTACCTACATGCTGAGTTTTTCTTGCTTGAGCTTCTGATTCAAGGCTGGTTTTAGAAAACTATTTATAGGGGGGAAATCACTATATAAAATGACTATTAACAATTATTTTTGTGTAATGGCTTCATGGGAGAAGCATATAATTTTTGTTTGCCTTCAGTTTCCTCTGGAATTTGCTTTGACTGCTTTGAAATTACTCCACCACCCCAAAACACATGATGTAAAGTTTTGTATTTATTTATAAGTTTACTTATCATTGTTGTTTTAAATTTATACGATCAAATTCTGAAACACAGCAAGTATTTATTGGCTGATTTTCATTTGTTAATATAAACAAATAGCAATTTTAAATAAATAAAAAGCAAAACAGATACTGGTTAAAGAAGTGTTCAAAACACACCAGCCTCATCAAAGTACTAGAGTACTGTACAGTAACACTTCACAGGATTTGTTTCATATTATGTATAGAGTAGTA